CTATTTGCTAGTATTTTAGAAAGGACTTTTGCATCTATGTTCACGAGGTAGACTGTCCTGCAGTTCTCTTTTTTAGTTGCATCTTTCTCTGGTTTTGATATCAATACAATAACTGTATCCAGGAATAATTTGGGGAGAATTGTTTCCTTTTCAATTTCATTGAGGAGTTTGAAGAGTATTGGGATTATATATTCTGTAAATTTCTCGTAGAATTCAATTGTGAATCTATCAGGACATGAAACTTTTTTATCATTAGATTTTTTATTACATTTTTAATTTCATTGGATGTTATTGGGTTATTGAGAGTACTTATATCTTCTTGATCCAGTTTTGATAATTTGTACCTTTGTAGGAATCTGTCCATTTCTTCTATGTCTTTGATTCTGTGAGAGTAAAGATTCTCAAAATAGTTATTGATTAATTTTATCCATAATCCTTTCGTTGCTGAGAGAGTGTCATTTAATTTCAATGTATTTTTTGGGTTTTTGTGGTTTCTTCTTCATTTATGTCCAGTTTCATTAGTGTGGTCAGATAATAAACATGGAATAATTTTTCTCACATATACTTAAGCATGATCTATGGAATAGTATGTGGTGTATTTTAGAAAATGTCCCATGTGCAGCAGTAAAAAATGTGTATTCAGATGTGGTTAGATGAAACATTCTGCATATGTAAACTAAGTCCATTTGCTCCAAGTTCTGTTTCAGTTCTGCTATTTCTTTCCTAATTTTATGTCTATCTGAACTATCTTTTTGGGATAAGGGATTGTTAATGTTTCCTGTTAAGGTTGTACTATTGCATATTAGATTTTCATGTCCATTATGATTTGTCTTATATAGTTCAGTTCTCCCATGTTTGGTGTGTTCATATTTATGAGTGTTACCTCTTTCCCTTGCATTTTTCCCCTAATCAGTATGTAGTGACCTTCTTTATTTCATTTAATCATTCATGGTTTGAAATTGACACTGTCTAAGAACAGGATTGCTACCCCTGCTTTTTTTCTGAAGTGCTGGGGCATGTAGTATTGTTTTCCATCCTTTGACTTTCAGCCTATGAATTTTTTAGGAGTTAAGTGTGTTTCTTATATACAGCATATTGTTGTATTTTATTTTCCTGATCCAAAAAGAAAAGTCTACTTCTTTTAATTGGGGAATTGAGTTCATTCACATTGATGGTTATGTTTGAGATGTATTGACTTATGATTGACACGTTACCTGCTGTTGTATACCCCTTTTTCTTCTGTGTTTAATTGTTTTTCCTATTTAGTGGGTTCCTTCTGTTCTCATTTGCTAAGTTCTGATCATTTCGTTCCCCTCTAGAACATTTTTTAGTAGTCTATGTAGGTTTGGCTTTGTCATCATGAAAGTCTTTAGTTGTTCTTTTACACGGAAGGATTTCACTTCTCCATTAAACTGAAAAGAGAGTTTTGCAGGGAATATCAGTCTGGGATGGAATTTGTCTTCTTGAAAGATCTGAAGTACTTTGCTCCATGCCCTTCTTGACTTAGTGGTTTGTGAGGAGAAATCTGCCATTATTCTTATGGATTTTACTTAAAATGTGATCTCTTCCTATCCTCTAAATGCTTTTAGTATGCTCTTCTTGTGCTGGATTTCTGGTATCTTGATCATTATATGTCTGGGTGTGGTTTTAATTCAGTTGATGTTTTTTGGAGTTCTATATGCTTCAATTATCTGAATGTCACATTGTTTTTCCATATTTGGGAAGTTTTCTGCTCTTACTCTGCCCATATAATTTTTATATCATTTTTATTGACTCCTTCTTTCTCACTGATGCTTATTTGTCTTACATTGTTCATCTTTGCCTCACCTTGCAGATGTTGATTTACTTTTTCCTGAATCCTTGTTGTTCTCATGAAATCTTTTCTTACCTTTTCACTAGTTGCAATGGTGTCTTCAAGTCTGATAGTCCACCTTCACTTTCATTAAAACAAATGAAATGTAGGAGAAACCACTTTCCTACCTTGTGATTGAGGTTTTAATGTCCTGCATATCTCTTTGAATTGCTTCATGCATTGTATTTCTTTCCTATGCTGGCCATTCAATGATTCCATCATTTTTCTATTCTCTATTTTTTATCAGTGTCTTCTTTAGACTCACTTTCATTATAGTTATCATTTCTTTTTGTACTTCAGAGATTATTTCTGATCTGCTTCCCTCTACACCTTTCCACAGTTGTTTCTTTACTTCAGACACTATTATTTTAGAGATTTCAGGTGTGTAATTTCGAATTTCTTTTATTCTGGTGTCTCCTACATATATTCTGAGTGGACTTGTGGCCAGAGAATAAATTTGTTCCTTCTTTTTGACATTTTATAAAGCAAAGTCTTCTGAATTTTGGTGTGGAGCTTTGGTGCAGTTATTTCCTTACCATGTACCAATATTATTACCCAAGAGAGATTATTTTGTTAAGGAATTAGTCTTGCATTTACAAAACAGCAACACTAATAATGGATAGTGAGATTTAGCATTTGACAAATTTCTATATCTATTGGGTTTGTATTTTATACACTAAGAGCAAACATTATGACTCTATAGCTAAGCAGGTCTTAGATTGGGAATTTGGACTTAAATTTATACCCTTAAGTTCTGTCTGATCACCTCCACTTTTGTACCTGTACTCTTTCTGGCAGAGTAGTTCACCCCAGTTTCTTGTTTCCCCCTCTCTTAATCAAAAAAGAAAGAAAGAAAGAGGATATTTTCATAGTTCTGGGTCTAACAAAGTTTCTCAGCTTAGTTGGTCAAAATCCAGAAAGTTTAAACTTGTCCAGCTGGTCCTAGCTTGGGTCTGCTGCTGTGCTCAGCCTCTTCATGATGCATATCATTGATATGAACACACAGTGCCCTTCTGGCAACATGTTCTGCTACTGGATTAGCTGGGTGGTTCTGGCCCCTAGCCTCTCTACAGGGAGTTCTGCTGCAGGGCTCCACAACACCCTTGTCTGATAAAGTAGAACCTGACAAGTGTAGAAGGTCCCACATACATGCCAGGGATTGGCGCTGGGTGAAGCAGGATCTGGTGGTGAGGAAGGTCTCACACACTGGGCCACAGCTCCTTCTGGAGTAGAATATGGAGGACGGGGAAATTCCCATACACATGCCAGGCCTGAGTGCCAGCTGGAGAAAAAAACACTTGATGAAGAAAAGTTAATTTAAATAGACCACTAAAAATGGGCACATCTTAGAAAAATGGATTCAAATAATGATAGCAGCAGGAAAAATAGTAAGAATAATAAAAATTTTAAAAAGATGCCATTATTGAACAGAAAAAACACTGTATATCTTTCATTAACACTGTTGAAAGACATCTATTCACAAATTCTAAAACCTATACAAAAAGGTAGACTGCCAATTAAAATCACATGTATCACTCAGTAACTCCCCAATAAATGCTACTTCAAGCTTGTAGGCACATGTAATAATGGCAAGACCTCTCAAAACTTATATACAGAAAATGACACATGACATAAGTATCATGAAAAGAATGTTCACAAAATACTTACCCTGAAAGGCATCAAGTTTACTAGGAAAGAAGAAAGAATAACATATACCGTAACTCACTGTCATAAGTCAGTGAAGCTAGAAAAAACAGATAATAAAGGTTGAGTGGGTATTGGAACAACTGGAATTAAAATCTGAATTTTGGAAAAGTCACGTGTTCCTTCTATGACCTAGCTTTAGTGACTCTAGCTGTTTACCCAGCCCATATGACTGTTCTGTCAGATCAGTTATGGGAGGGCCGACACTGTCGACAAAAGATGGCCAGTAAGAATAGATGTGCCACAACAGTTAATAATTTAGATTTTTAGGTCAGTGTTTCAACATCAGTTCCACCAGTGTCATACAAAACAGTCGAGACATTATGTAAATAAATGGTTATGAATGTTTTCCTATAAAATATCATTTAGAAAAAAATGAGAAATAATCTGCAAGTTAGCATGTTTCACTACATTATGTTATTAGGACATTAATGCAGCATTACATGTCCCTTGTCTCTTTAGCATGGTTACTAATGTCAATTATTCTCATCCCTTGATGGACAGAGTGTGTCGGTCCTTTTTTCTTGGGCTTGGCCATCTTTAAGGTAAACAATGATTTAAAAATAAAAGTAAAGGGGGCCAGGGAGATGGCTCAGTGGAATAAACGCTCCCTGGTAAGCGCAAGGGCCTGAGTTCAATCACCAGTCTGCAAATAAATAAATAAATAAATAAATAAAATAAAGGATTGAGGATGAAGAATTAATTGCCACCTCAGTATATTTCATAATTATATCACAAAGCATTTGTGCAGGTGACCATATAAAGGATAAAATATACAAAGTTTAAGTTCATCAAATATCTATTTAGTATAGCAATATCTAAAGTCATTAATCAAGGAATAAATACAGATTAATTTTCCACTGTGCATATATTTAATAGCAACTAGCCAAAAAAGGTAGCAATACTAAAAACAGCTAGTTTATTTCTCATGAGCAAGAGTCAAAAATAAAAGAAAGGAGAGGAGAATTATGGGAGGGAGAGAGAGAAAAACACAGAGAGACAAAGAGAGAGAAGAGAGAGAAGGAGAGAGTCCTGTATGGAGGAATAAAAACAAAACAAAAATAAATTTGATTTGCAACATAACGTAAACTCAATCGGGTTCTATGCAAACAATATACTGAATATAGAAGGAACCAGAACTGCTGTATATAGAACAACAGTTTCATGCTAAATGCTCATAATTACATGATGGAATCTTACAAAGTAGCAAAATTATGTCAACTATGAAAGGCATATATATATATATATATATATATGCCTTGTTTTCTCAACAAGGTAATGACAATCATGTCTGAAGCACATGAGTGAGATAATATGATTCTATAATGTCTGTGGTTTCCCACACCCATCATCAAGAGGTATAAAAGGCCCTCAGCAGGCAGTGACATCCAGATACAAGACTCTGACTTCCAGATTCTCAACAGAACTGTCCCCTACTAACACAATGTGCTACTATGGCAGCTACTATGGTGGCCTGGGCTATGGATATGGTGGCCTAGGCTGTGGCTATGGCTATGGTGGCTATGGTGGCTGTGGTTATGGCTGTTGCCGCCCTCTGTGCTATAGAAGATACTGGACCTATGGCTTCTACTGAGGAATTCCGACAGCTTTTTAGCCTATTTGCTATAACCTGTTTCACTGGAATTTCATCCAACATTTGTCAAATGTCTCCAAAAACTCCAAGTAAATAATAACTAAGAAAGGAAGATTCAGCATGTCACTTTGTGTCACCGGTATGGATTAGATTATGTGATAGCTCAGAGAAAAGTTGCTGTACTGTTTTTATAATGTTATATCCAGTGTGGGATGAAATTTAGTTATCAAGTTTTGTATAGGATGATTATTTAATAAACTATATTTATCATAAATTTTGCTTTTTATTATTCAACTACATTTTTAGTTTTGCTTATGCATGTATGTGTATTTATCTATGACTGTTCACAGGTATGTGATGGTGGTTAGGTGTCATGGGTAGGAAAGAGGAGCTTAGGAGGATGTGCAAAGTTGAATGGTGTCTGTTTTGCTATACTTATGCATCTAGCACCTGAATGGGTAAAAGTATAAATCCTTTCCCACAGACCATACAAACGTGCTCTTAGGCAATAAGTCTCTGACTTGCAGGCATTCAAGATGCACACTCTCAGAGATGCAAATGCACCTTGAGTTATGAGCTTGAGTAGAGGTAAACAAACCACAGAAGCAGGGCCCTGTCTGACAGACATTGTCACTGTCACTGTTTTGCTGCTGTGTGCTCACTGTGTGTGTGATATTGTTCATTGTAATTGTGCTCAGTCAAAGTCTAGGGTATCCATAAAAATGACAAATGCAGTGGTGATGCAGAGAAGCTAGGAACACAAAGAAATTGCATATGTATTTCTGTCATCCTAGAAACAACTCACTTTTTCAGACTTATGAAGAAATCTGAATTTCTTCTCCCAGAGCTGAACACATTCTTAAGTGAGAGGCTTACTGTATGCATTTACAAAATATGATACCAATTGAAAGAGTGAGGTTGAGATTAAAACATCTGTACAAAGATATATTGGTCCGAAAAAATAGAATGACATGCTATATACAGATTCTGAATAAACATCAGTCTAGATGTTCACAAAATCAGGAATGCCCATATATCAAACACACACGGAAGTAACATATAAAATTTAAAGAATATAAAGATAAAATTCTTAGCCCAATAGTGAGAGAATTTATTTCTTTAAATTATACCATCATTGAGTTTGGGGATATAGCTTGGCACCATAAGAGCCTGCCTGGCAACTAGAAGGTCTTGAGTTCTATTCCACCTTCCAAATATAATAAAAGCCTAAATTATATCATTATGACATGTTTAGACAGAAGAAAAGTAAAATGAGACAGAAATATGCACATTCAAAAAATATAATCATTTAAAAGCAGAAATAAATTTTAATTGTCAAAGTATAATATTCACTTTTCAGGTTCTTTTTTATTAATTCTATTGAGAAAAAATTCAATGAGAAAGTTTCAAAACAGGGTGTTAAGAAAGTTACAACAATTAGTACATTGCATATTGTTGTCTTTGTAGTAGTCATTCATAGCACACAATGCAGACATGATATCCTGTCCTAACACTATTAATAGAAATCTTTCTTTGTATTGAATAAAGAGAAAGTGGCTATATGTCTACCCTAACTATTTTTATATACAGATACAAAATTGTCTTTCATTTATATCTTCTTTTGTGTTTAGCTTTGTCACCAATGGATATTGCATTGCCATCCAAATAATGTTGGTACAAGAATTCAGCAAAAATGTTCCAATATAGTTCAGTAGTCCACAATATTAGTGGGTTATCAACAAAACTGGCAATGTCCGAATCTGGTGACTTGATCCTTCCATGGCTCTGCATATTAACATGGATTCACCTTTCATAATTCCTTTCTACACTTTTCTGCTGATTGGTTAAGATCAAGATAAAGCAAGATCTATATAACAAGAAATGTAACTTTTGGATCTTACAAGGTCATTCAAGCCCCTAAGCACATATCCCAAAACCCTATACCACACTTTGTAGATCCTTTGTCATTGTCATCCATGTGGATGGGTCATGGCCATTGCTTGACCAATTTTCTCTCTCTGAAAGCCTGAGGGAATGTTTTCTCTCCATGTGCCTCTCTTTAGGCATACACTATGACATCAAACTCATTCCTCTTTCACCCATCATCTCCTTGATCAGAAAATTTGGGACACAACTGAGCTAAATGATGATACAATATAGATTTTCCTATGTCCTGAGTCCTCACTGACCTTGAAAGGCTAGGAAAAAAGTGTTGGCTGTCCTTGCAGCCCTTCTTTTTCTCTAATGTTTCATCTGCAAACTTAGGTTGTTAACCCTCCAGAAGAGAAGCTTGTAATTACCCTACAACATATGCAGTTGTGTTGAACCTCCCTATTTGTCTAAATATCAAACATCTTAGGCATACCATGGAACAGGTATTTTCCATCAAATATTGCTATGTTAAACTTTAACTATCTACAGTACATGTAAAAAGAATTTTAAAAATTAAAAAATAAGAATAAACTGTTACATATTTTACACAGAAATTTAGAAATCTAACCATATACATCATTGTCGCAGGACATTCATGTGACTTTTTTGTATCTTTTTCCAATTATTAACCTTTTTTAAAAAATAAATATTTACTTGAGATACAGTCTGGCCATAATTGATATGTCATGACAAGAGTTATGTATTTAGAAGACCTAGCTTCAGTGCACTCGATCAGTTCACAGGTATCAGCATATATAGTTAGTCAGGGTGAGAAATCCCACCAAGTAACTGCTAATTTCAACAACCTGCTGATACTTCTCAGGATCATTGACCTACCCATCTTGTGCATATAAATGTATGGCTTTGCCCCTGTCATGTTTGCTAGCTTTTCTGCTTGACCACATTTCATTGTCTGATTCTCAAGTACTTCCTTTCCTTTTAATTGTGTTACACCTTTCTATTTGTATTTCTCCTTTTTAGTTCTAATGCAAGGGAGACTATATGACATTTACACATGTGGGACTGGTTTATTTCACTTATGAGTATATTCCAAGTGGCATCCACTTAAGTATGAAGGCTTCGAGTTTATCATTCTTTTTGGCTGAGTAATACTCCATTGCATAAAAATACCACATCTCTTTCATCCATTCTTTAGTTGATGGGCATCTTGGTTTTTTCCAATATTTGACTATCACAAATTGTGCTGCTATTAACGTAGGTACACATATATCAGTATGATATGATGTTTTCAGTTCCTCTGGGAAAATTCCCAATAGGAGGATAGCTGGTTTGAATGGGATTACCACTCTCAGTTTTTTAAGGAGTCTCCACACTAATTTCCATAATGGTTGCACCATTCTACATCCAGCCAGCTGTGGAGAAGGGTTTGTTTTTTTTTTTTCCTCCAGAGCCTCTCAAACAATCGTTGTTAGTTGATTTGTTTATCATAGCCATTCTTTCTGGGCTGAGATGGTATCACAGTGTTGTTTTAATTTGCATTTCATGGATGGCTAGTGATGTGGAGCATTTTTTCATATATTTATCCGCCTCTTTAATTTCTTCCTCTGAGAAGCATGTTCATCTTGGATGCACATTTCTGGATTGGGTCTTTAAATTTGGGGTGCTAATATTTTCTAGTTCTTTATAAATTTTAGAGATCAGTCCTTTGTCTGAGTTCTTACTAGGAAAGGATTTTTTTTCTAAATTTGCGGGTTGTCTTTTCACTTTGTTTGTAATATCTTTCAAAATGCAAAAATTTCTCAATTAGAGGAGGTCCCTGCTCTTAATTCTTCCAAGTTTTACACATATGATTTGATTTTTTGTTCATGAACCCTTTGCCTACCCCTATTTCTTCAAGAATTCCTCCTACTTTCCCTTCCAGGAGGTTTAGTTTTTCTATTTTAATGTTTATATCTTTAATCCATTTTGACTTTAGCTTAGTGCATGGTGATAGACTTGGGTTAAGTTTTAGTTTTCAGGATGTAGAGAACCAGTTTTTCAGTTCCATTTGTTAAAGAGGCTGTCTTTCTTCCAGCGAGCATATTTGGCCTCTTTGTTGAAGATCGGGTGGCTGAGTGTGTTCATAGTGGTTTCTGCATCTTCCAATCTGTTCCATTGATCCACAGGTCTATTTCACTTCCAATACCATTCTGATTTTATCACAGTAGTTTTGTAGTATAATTTCAAGTCAGGAGTTGTAATGCTTCCTGCCTTGTCTTTGTAG